GAATTGGAGAAGAAAGGCTTGTTTTAGGACTGGTTGACATTTTGGCATTTAAGTTTGACACTTTGTCTTGGAAACATATTTTGGGTGGGTCGTTTACAACTGAGACTAAACTGGTTATTAATGTCATTGTTAATTGGTGTTCACTGATGCATGACTGTGTGGTTTGGACAGGTGCAAGCCTTGACACCGTCAGCCGATACTGTAGACGTCACTCCTTGAGAAGAGGTTATTGGATATTTCTGTTTATATACATATGATTTGTTTAACTTGGTGTTTTTGCTAAACGTGTGGAGGCCAAACAACTTTTCGAATTGACTGAAACAGGCGGTGCATCTGATGCTAGTCTACAGAAAGTTTAATTTTAAGTTTATTTCTTCAGAACAGACACCAATCTGCCAAAGTAAGCCAAACAACTAGCCGTTGTCCTGCTAATTTCTGGCAGACTGGTTTTGAGTCTGGCAAACAAACGCAGCTAGTTTGCTGCTATAAATGGATTTCATTCTGAATTAAGTGCAGCTTTAAACTTTAGTCAGAGAATTTTCCTTTCAGAATGAGAGAGACACCTTTGTGTAATGCTAAATTTGGTGGATGAATTGTCATTTCATGTTTCAGTTAAAAATAAATGACTCCCAAGGTCATATAGTATTCTTTGGATCCAGAGCTGTTGTTTTAAAAGATCTGTTCTGATTGTTTGTGGCTTTACTCAAGAACAATAGTTTAAGTCAAACGGTGGATAGCTATTATATCCAAAGCCAAAAATGTTCATTAGATCTTAAGTCGGTGTGTGGAACCCATATATAGAGACATGCATGATTTATCTCCAACTCAAATTTATTTAGTATTTTGTAATCTGAACAGAACACAACACGTTTACAAGCTCAATCAGACCACATCAATATGTGGCTTGCAGTACGTCAGAAACGATCAGAATGGATTTCTTTAAAGAAAGGAATAATTACATTTATTCGTTTATTTAAAATAAAGTATTTCTTTTAACTCTGGACGCATTCTTCATACAGTCGACTATGTGACATTTACTTGTACTTACATAGTGAATGAGTCACTGAGTCAGCTATTTTGGACAAGGGAGAATAGTATTTTCATAAATATATGCTTGTGAGCGAAATGTCACGATAGACATGAGCAAAGGCAATATTTCATTTTCCTGTCCTCTCTTTCCACAAAAGTCATTTGACGTACACTGAATATCGACTGCACTGTATGAATGAACAGATCAGATTTCATCAGTTAGTCCGTGTAGTCAGTCAGTTCTAGATTTGATTGGAAAATCAAATCTGATTCATGTGCAGCATGAATAAAGTCGTATTTACACAAAGGCTAATATGTTGATTAGCTTTGTGTGGTTAGTTTATTATTGAGTACTCCAGGAGGGAGGCGCCCCTGTAGCGCCGTGATTTTATGACCATTTATACTAGCAGTGCTTAGTTTGGAGACATTTATGTGAGGTGATTTCATATATGACTAATGATAGCCTGAAGGAGAGCTTAACAATCAGAGTGATGTTTCCTTGAAAGCCTGTTCAAGTAAACGCGCCAGCATACCATTCAACGTAATGTCTTTACTCATTAGCTCTCAAGCCGATTATGATTATTTGCTTATTTTTGGTGAAAGTCAGTGTTACAGCTTGTGTTCTTGGAACACTAATAGACTACTACAGTGCTAATTAGTCATGCTTTTGACCTTGTTTGACACTTTTCGAGTTGACTTTTACTAAATTTGGGTAATACTTTATTTTACCTTTTACTTGTTATACGTTAAATACGTTGTTATGCACATTATGCATAATTACATGTAACTAACATTAACCCTATAGTAATTACATGTTGTTAATTAATAATACTCAGTACTTAAATGTATAATTACACTGTAAAAAGGACAC